GGGGGGGGGGGGGGGGGGGGGCACAGGGACAGAGAATCCAAAGTGGGTTCCACGCTGTCAGCCCCAAGCCTAATGCAGGGCTCAAATTCATGAACCACAAGATCATGTCCTGAGTGAGCCAAAGTTGGACGCTCAACTGACTGAGCCACTTAGGCGCCCCTCCACATAATTTTTTTTAAGTTTATTTACTTATTTGGAGAGAGAGAGAGAGAGAGAGAGAGAGAGAGAGAGAGAGAGAGAGCGCACGCGCACACACTCACAAGTGAGTGGAGGAGAGAGAGAGGGAGAGAGAATCCCAAGCAGGCTCCCCACTGACAGTGCAGAGCCTGATGCAGGCATCCATCTCACGAACTGTGAGAACATGACCTGAGCCCAAATCAAGCATCAGACACTTAACCAACTGAGCCACCAAGGTGCCCTGAGAATACCTGGGGTGTCTGGGTGGCTGTCAGTTGAATGTCCAACTTTGGCTCAGGTCATAACCTCAGGGTTTCATGAGTTCGAGTCTCACATGGGTTTGATGCTGTCGGCACAGAGCCCACTACAGATCCTCTGATGCTCTGTCTCCCCCTCTGTGCCCCTCCCCTGCTCACGCTCTCCCTCTCAAAACTAAGTAAAACATTAAAAAGAAAAAGCCAATTCCTTTTAGTAAAGAAAAGCCACCCCAAATTCCTATAACATTTTTATCAAATGAAAGGTTATCTAATTAAATTCACTAACTGAACTGAACCTTTTCACTATTTTTTGATATTTGATTATGACTCTCATATTAAAATTAGAAAGCCAGTCCAGTGTATAGTCTTAAGATTTAAAATTCTAGTTACACATACAGAAAATGTCTGAATACAATCTTTTTTTATTTTTTATGTTTATTATGAGAGACAGAGAGAGAGAGAGACCAACCATGGTAGCAGGGCAGTGAAGGAGGTGCAAAGAGAAGGAGACACAATCTGAAGCAGGCTCCAGGCTCTGAGCTGCCAGCACAGAGGCTGATGCAGGGCTCCAACCTCATGAGCCGTGAGATCATGACCTGAGCCAAAGTCAGACACTTAACCAACTGAGCCACCTAGCCACCCCTACAATCTTTAAACATAAAAAATTCAATTATACAAAACAAAATCCTCCCTTCCACCGTCTGCATACCATTTTCTTCGCTAATAGCAACCACTATCCTACTCATTTGCACATACGCATATGTATTTATACAGACATATACCTGGGTCTACAGTGTATATATTTTCCTTAAATTTAATCTACCTATCTATCTATCATTTAATATTAAATGATACCTGGGTGGCTTAGTCAGTTAAGTGTCCAACTCTTGAGTTCGGCTCAGGTCATGATCTCACAGTTCGTGAGTTCAAGCCCCCCAATGGGCTCTGCACTCATAGCACAGAATCTGCTTGGGATCCTGTCTCCCCCTCTCTCTCTGCCCCTCTCCCACTTGCTCTCGCTCTCTCTAAAAAAGATGGTAATGGAAATTCATACTCTGGATAGCAAAAAATAATTGCTAATTTTTAAAGGAGCGAATAATGGCACTATTAACTATGATTTTTAAAACAAAGAGTCTGTAACTCTTAAATATACACACTGAAATAGTGATAGGTGAAATTATATGATGTCTAGGATTGCTTCAAAATAATCCAGTGAAGGCAGGGTGTAAGACAGTGAGGATATGAATGACCATCACTGGTTGTGAGCTGATAAAGCCTTTCAAAAATGTTTGTAATAGACAGCCCAACATGAAATAATTTTTTAAAAATGACTTAAAGATGATAAACAAATGCAACTTGTAAACCTCATTTGGATCTTAACTGGAACAAATTAATTGTAAAAATATACATATATTTTAAAGATACCTAGAGAAATTTGAGGATATCAGGGAAGAACTGTTCATTCTATTTAGGGGTGATAATGGTACTTATAGGTGTTTTATTGTTTTAAGAGCCCTAATATTTCCAGAAAAATGAATTATTTACAGATAAAATGATATATCTGAGACATGCTTCAAAATAATCTAAAAGGGAAGGGATGTTATAGGTGAAACAAAATTGTCCTTGAGTGTATGATTTTCAAAAGTACTTGTATACTACTGTACTATTCTAACTGCTATATATGTATTTTTTAATTTTCAATAAATAGGTTTTTAAAAAACTTATTTATTTTTTTAGTAGTCAAGATATGTATGAAGCTCAAAAATAAAGAAGAAAACCTGGGAGTGGCTGTATGAAAAAGTAGTCCTATCGGAGATAAGCACTCTAATAGAACAGAACAAAAAAACCCAGAAATAGACTCAACTGCACATGGGCCCTTAATATATGATAAAAAATAGTATTTCATATCAATTTGATCTCTGGCCATAATGGAATTTAAAATTCAAAAACAGAAATACATCTGGAAATATTCAAATATTTGGAAATTTCAACACAATGCCAAATAACCCACTGGTCAAAAAAGAAATTATAAGACAAAAAATATTCTGAATTGAGTAAAAATGAAAATACAACATAGTAAGTTTTGGGGATGCAGCTAAGACAATGATTAGAAATTTGTGGCTTTAAATACTTCTATTAGAAAAGAAAGTTTGAAAATCGCCAACTGAAGCGACCACCCTAAGAAACTAGAAAAACTGCAAATTAAATCCAAAGAAAGCAAAAGAAATTAAGTGATAAAAAGCAAAAATCAACAAAATAGAAAATATAGAAAAAGCAATGAAACTAGAAGTGGTTCTCTAATGAGTCTCCAGCAAGACTGATCAAGAAAAAAAGGGAGAGAAACAAATTATTAGTACCAGAAATGAAATACAGAGCATCATTACAGAGACTATAGACATTAAAAAAATAAAGAAGGGGCACCGGGGTGGCTCAGTCAGTTAAGCGTCCAACTTCAGCTCAGGTCATGATCTCGCGGTTCGTGAGTTCAAGCCCCATGTCAGACTGTGTGCTAATAGCTCGGAGCCTGGAGCCTGCTTTGGATTCTGTGTCTCCCTCTCTATCTGCCCCCCACCCCCACTCACATTCTGTCTCTGTCTCTCTCTCAAAAATACATAAACATTAAAAAAATAATAAAATAAAATAAAAATTATGACAACTTTAGGCTACTACATTGGTAAGTTAGACAAACGGCCACAATTAACTGGATAACAAAACGATACAAAGACATTACAAAGTAATGCAAACTACAGATCAATATCCCCTAAGAACATAGGTGAAAAACCTCCTAACCAAAACACTATCAAGTCAAATCCAGGAATGTGTAAAAAGGATAATACACTATGACTAATGTAAGTGGGATGCCAGGAACGCAAAGCTGGTTCAATTCACAAATAAATGTAATTCTTCAAAATAACAGCAAATCAGAAAAACTATATGATCATCGATCATCATAACAAAGTACTTAACAGAAGTCAATAGCCAACCATTCATGATTAAAAAAAAAAAAAAACCCTCAGCAAATTAGGAATCGAAACCACACCAAACGGTATGCAGGCATTCTTCAGAGATATCTAGGTTTGGTTCCAGACCACTTCAATAAAGTGAGTATCACAACAAAGTGAGTCAAGTGTGTTTTCTCATTTCCCATCGTTCTAAAAGTTATGTTTACACCATACCATAGCCTGTAAGTGCGTAACAGCACTGTCTACAAAAAACAACATGCATACATTAAAAAATACTTG